CAGCAGCAGCAGCAGCAGCAGCAGCAAGCGCAGCAGCAGCAGCAGCAAGATGTCTTCTGCGGACCCGTCGCTGCATGCGTCGCCCGCGTGGCTGCCGCACGGCTCGGAGCTGAGCAGCAGCAGCAGCAGCAGTCATCAGCAGCAGCAGCAGCAGCAGCAGCAGCAGCAGCAGCAGCAGCAGCAGCAGCAGCAGCAGCAGCAGCAGCACCTGAGTCTCTCTCTAAGTCTAGGGTCTTGAGTAGCAACACAAAGTTTTCTTTGCTGCTGGCTGCTGGCAAGACTAACAATACAACCATAAGCATCAGGAAGGGGGGCCCCCCCTTCTGTACCCTTTTTGGGGGCCCCCCGGGGGCCCCCCGGGGGGCCCCCCGGGGGGCCCCCCCCAGCTGCTGCTGGCTGCTGCGCTAGGTGCCGCGCTGCTGCTGCTGCTGCTGCCTGGATGCTCTGCTGCTGCTGCTGCTGCTGCTGCTGCTTCTTGCTGCTGCTGCTGCTGAAGTCGTCAGGCAGGGCCCCCCCCACCAGCGCTGGGTGGTGAAGAAACTTCTGCTTTGGGAGGTTTAGGGTCTTGCTGCTGCTGCTGCTGCTGCTGCTGCTGCTGCTGCTGCTGCTGCTGCTGGAGTTGCTGCTGCTGCTGCTGCTAAGGGGGGGAACGTCTTCTTCATCGCTGCTGTCCGCGAACAGCTGCCTCCGAACCGGTTTGTGCTGCTGCTGCTGCTGCTGCTGCTGCTGCTGCTGCTGTGGGTCCGACATGTCGCCTTTATCTTCTGCTGCTGCAGCAGCTGCTGCTGCTGCGCTGCTGCTGCTTTCTGCTGCTGCTCTCCTCTTCTTCCTTGGTGGCTCGGGGGCTGCTGCAGCATTTGCAGCTTCGTGTGCTGCTGCTGCTGTTGCTGCCTCTTTTGCTGCTGCTGCTGCTCCATCTGCTGCTGCTGCTGTTGCAGTTCCTTCTGCTGCTGCTGCTGCTGTTCCTTCTGCTGCTGCTGCTGTTGTTCCTTCTGCTGCTGCTGCATCTGAGTCATCTAGGACTGGGGTAGCAAGTGCAGCAGCAGCTTCAGCAGCAGCAGCAGCAGCTGCTGCTGCTGCTTCTTCAGCATGCTGGCAAGGGTAGCTGCAGCAGCCGCAGCAGCCTCAAACCCTAAACCCTAAACCCTAACCCTAGGCCTTAAACCCTAGAAGGAGCCGCCGCTGCGGGCTACGCAATAAAAGGATTCACTTCAGGGATCAGGGTTTAGGGTTTGGAGGCCCACTAGGGTTTAGGGTTTAGGGTTTAGGGTTTAGGGTTTAGGGTTTACAGCTCACCGTCTGAAGCGCTTTGCTGCTACAGCAGCACCTTCGGCCCCCGGGAGGCTCCGCAGCTCTTTTAAGATGCAGGGGGTCATCACTGTAGCCACAAACCCTAAACCCTAAACCCTAAACCCTAAACCCTAAACCCTAAAACCTGCTTCTCCGGGGCACAGCTGCAGCAAAACGCGGGCTGCGCCGGCTCTGCAGTTGCTGCTGGCTGCTGCAAAACGGGCTAGGGTTTAGGGTTTGTCAAAGCTTCGGTTTCCGTAGGGGCTAGGGTTTAGGGTTTAGGGTTTAGGGTTTAGGGTTTACGCATGGTGGTTTTGCCGCAGAGCACTCGCGGCAGCAGCTCTGCTGCATTTACTTTGTGGCGAAGGCAGGCGGCCACGAAAGTCCCGTCGACTGAGCCAAACCCTAAACCCTAAACCCTAAACCCTAAACCCTAAACCCTAGGCCCAGGTTCTCAAGGATCGGCGGGGTAGGCTAGGGTTTGCAAAACCCCCATTCTAGGGTTTCGAGAGAACCCCTCACAGAGGGGAGCCCGGCGGAGGGCTTAGGGAACCGAGGGTTTAGGGTTTAGGGTTTAGGGTTTAGGGTTTAGGGTTTAGGGTTTCTTACCAATGAGTTGGTAGGGCTCCTGAATGCCGAAGTTTGTTGCATAGAAGCGCATTATCTTTTTAAAGTTCTTGCGCCGGCTAACTCTCATTTTCAAAACCCTAAACCCTAAACCCTAAACCCTAAACCCTCGTTCCTGGGACTTGAGTCGGGGGCTGCAGCAGCACTGCTGCTCTTCGGGCCCCGGATTAGAGAAATGCTGCTGCTGCTGCTGCTGCTGCTGTTGCTGCTGCTGCTGCTGCTGTTGCCGTTGCAGCTGCTGCCTTTGCTGCTGCTGCGCTGCTGCTGCTGCTCGCGCCGCGGCGGCGATCTTCTTCGGCTGCAGCAGGAAACTCTCTGCAAACCCTCAGCCCTAAACCCTAAACCCTAAAATCTAAGTCCTAAACCCTAAACCCTAAACCCTAAACCCTATTTCATGAAGGATTTGCATGCGGAAGGACAGCCCCAACAGTGGGGCCCCTGTGCCCTCTGGGGCCCCTCTGAGACAGGAGCAGCAGCAGCAGCAGCAGCAACTTTGCTGCTGCTGCTGCTGCTGCTGCTGTGTGTCCCGATGTTTTAATCATGCAGGAATGGAATAAGTAATTGAATTGGTAGAGAAGGGTTTAGGGTTTAGGGTTTAGGGTTTGGGGTTTAGGGTTTGGAAGTGGTTTTGACTTGCTGGAGCTGTCGAGACACAGCAGGCGGTGTTGTGAGCCAAGGGTTTGAAGCTCCTGTAAACAAGCCCGAGGGTTTAGGGTTTAGGGTTTAGGGTTTAGGGTTTAGGGTTTGTTTCCCAGGGGGTGTACACGCGCGGAAGCCCACTTATTTCTTCCAGGGCTTTCTGTCCCTCACAGCAGCAGCAGCAGCAAGAACAGCAGCAGCAGCAGCAGCAGCAGCAGCAAGCGCAGCAGCAGCAGCAGCAAGATGTCTTCTGCGGACCCGTCGCTGCATGCGTCGCCCGCGTGGCTGCCGCACGGCTCGGAGCTGAGCAGCAGCAGCAGCAGCAGCGGCAGCAGCAGCAGCAGCAGCAGCAGCAGCAGCAGCAGCAGCAGCAGCAGCAGCAGCAGCAGCAGCAGCATGCGGTGGGGGGGCGTGTGCGCGCTGCTGGGGGGCGTGCTGCTGCACGTGGCTTTGGGGACAGTTTATTGTTTGGGAGTGTCTTCGATTTATTTTATTTCTTTCTTAAGAAACAGCAGCAGCAGCAGCAGCAGCAGCAGCAGCAACATCACTGCAGCAGCAGCAGCAACAATAACAGCAGCAAGCTTCAGCGCCATGGCCCTCGGCATGCCCCTCGGCGGCGCCCTCGAGAGAAAGCTCGGACCCAGGCCGTGCGGCCTCTGCTGCTGCTGCTGCTGCTGCTGCTGCTGCTGCTGCAGTGCTGCTGCTGCAGTGCTGCTGCTGAAGTGCTGCTGCTGCAGTGCTACAGTGCTGCTGCTGCAGTGCTGCTGCTGCAGTTCTGCCGCTGCAGTGCTACAAGGCTGCTGCTGCTGCCGCTGCTGTGCTACAACGCTGCTGCTGCTGCTGCTGCCGCTGCTGCTGCTGCTGCTGCTGCTGCTGCTGCTGCTGCTGCTGCTGAGCGCGTTTTGCTGCTGTGTGTGTGGGGTTTCAGGGTGAGTCTGCTGGGGGGTTTGCTGTTCGTGTCGGGTGTCTATACATCTCAGTTAACCATCAAATTAGGGTTTAGGGTTTTTCTTTTTTCTTACGGAGTCCTTTATGGCTTTGGCCTCGGCGTGGCCTACACAAGTCCCTTAGTTGCTGCGCTGCGCTGGTTCCCCCAACAACAAGGCAAACCCTAAACCCTAAACCCTAAACCCTAAACCCTAAACCCTCGAAGCGCGCGGCCGGGGGAGGCGCGCGGGGCCTGCGCGCTGCTGCGGGGACGGGTGCTGCAAGGGCTGCGGGGGCTGGCTTGGGACGTAGGGTTTAGGGTTTAGGGTTTAGGGTTTAGGGTTTAGGGTTTAGGGTTTAGGGTTTGCGTGCGCGCAGGGTTGGTGAGCGGGCTGATCACTGCAGGGTTTGGGCTGGGGAGTGTAGTGTTTTCCCCGCTGCAGCAGCAGCTGCTAAACCCTCGGGGGGCCCCCCCCACGAAGCCAGCAGCAGCAGCAGCAGCAGCAGCAGCAGCAGCAGCAGCAGCAGGGCCCCCCGAAATGTACTACGAAGACCCCGAAATCCTCCAAAGAGTTCCTGCTGCTTTCTCCACTCTTGCTGCTGTTTATTTGGTTTTGGTGCTGCTGGCGGTTTGCCTCATTTCAAACCCCCCCGAGCTGCAGCAGCAGCAGCAGCAGCAGCAGCAGCAGCAGCAGCAGAAGGCGCTCGCGCAGGAGGAGGAGGGGCAGCTGCTGCAGCGCCAGCTGCAGCAGCAGCAGCAGCAGCAGCAGCAGCAGCAGCAGCCGCCGCTGGCTGCTGTGCTGCTGTCCCCCCAGTTCCTGCTGCTGTGGGGCAGCTTTTTGCTGCAGGGCATTTGCATTATCTTTGTGGCCAGCTTCTGGAAGCCTCTTGCTGCTGCTGCTGCTGCTGCAGGACTGCAGCAGCTCAGCGAACCCCAACTTGCTGCTGTTGGTGCTGCAGCAAGTGCATGCAACGCCCTGGGCAGGATTCTCTGGGGAAAATATGCAGACGCGCATACTTTTCAGCAAGCTCTAGTCCGCTGCTGCTGCTGCTGCTGCTGCTGCTGCTGCTGCTGCTGCTGCTGCTGCTGCTGCTGCTGCTGCTGCTGCTGCTGCTGCTGCTACTACTACTACTACTACTACTACTACTACTGGTGCTGCTGGTCTTGCTGCTGCTGCTGCTGGTGCTGCTGGTCTTGCTGCTGCTGCTGCTGCTGGTGCTGCTGGTCTTGCTGCTGCTGCTGCGGCTGGCTGTGCTGTTGCTGGTCGTGCTGGCGCTGCTGCTGCTGCTGCTGGCCTTGCTGCTGCTGTTCGTGCTGGCGCTGCTGCTGCCAGCCGTGCTGCTGTCGCTGCTGCCGTTGCTGCTGCTGCTGCTGCCAGCGGTGCTGCAGCAGCTTCTGCTGCAGCTGCAACGCCCCTCTGTCTCGCCGACTGTTCGCTTGTGTGTGTGCGTTTGCTTCCGCTGCTGCTGCTGCTGCTGCTGCTGCTGCTGCTGCTGCTGCAGGCGCTGCTCTCGAGCCTTTGGTTCGCTGCGCTGCTGCTGCTGTCTGCTGCAGCAGCAATTAACGGGGCCCTTTATGCTGCAGCAGTTTGTCTTAACTTCTTTTGTCTTGGAGGAAATTTTGCACTTTTCCCCGCAGGCACTGCTGCTCTCTTCGGCAGACAAGCCTTTGGTAAACCCTAAACCCTAAACCCTAAACCCTAAACCCTAGGCTCTGCAGCCGCTGCTGCCGTCGTCGGCAGCAGCGCTTTGGTAAACCCTAAACCCTAAACCCTAAACCCTAGGGCGTGGCCCGGTTGTTAGCTGTTCACAAGCCCCACACAAGTAGCAGCTTTCAAAACACCGCAGCAGCAGCTGCTGCAGCAGTAGCTGCTGCTGCTGCAGCAGCAGCAGCAGCAGCAGAAACAGTGAGCGACGTTGCTGCAGCAGCAGCTGCTGCAGCTGCCCCAGCTGCAGCAAGACTGTGCCGCCCCTTTGCCCGTTCGTAACTACGCCCCTCTTCTGCTTCTGCTGCTGCTGCTGCTGTGCTGCTGCTGCTGTGCTGCTGCTGCTGCTGCTGCTGCTGCTGCTGCTGCTGCTGCTGCTGCAGGGCGCGTGTACGGGTTTGTGTTTATGGCCCAGCTGGGCTCTTCTTTGGTGGGGGCTTTTGTCTTGCCGCCGCTGACGAGGTGCAGCAAAGTTTTTTATTTTTTGATTTTAAATTCATTTTTAATTCTTTTTTTGTCCTTTTTGGACTTTTTTGTCTCTTTTTTTCTTCTCTTTCCTCTCCTTTTTGTCGTTTTTGAATTCCGCGTTTCCTTTTCCTCTTTTTTGTCTTTTTTTGGCTTTTTTTTGACTTTTTTCGGCTCTTTTTTTGCCTTTTTTGTGCCCACTTTGTTTCTTTTTTGTGAAGTTATTTGCATTTTATTGTCTCTTTTTGCCCCAACTTTTTCTTTTATTTCCTTTTATTACTTCTGCCTCTTTTTGTGTTTTTGTTTATCTTTTTATTTGCCTTTTTGCGTCTTTTTTGTGTCTTTTATTTCTTTCTTTTTGTCTTTTTATTTGTCTTTTTACGTGTCTTTTATTTCTTTCTTTTTGTCTTTTTATTTATCTTTTTATGTGCCTTTTATTTGTTTCTTTTTGCCTTTTTATTTGTTTTTTAATTGTCTCTTTTTGCCTTTTATTTGTCTTTTTATTTGTCTTTAATTTGTTTCTTTTTGCTTTTTATTTTTCTTTTTTATTTTTATTTTTTGTGCTTTTATTTGCTTCTTATTTGTCCCATTTTGTCTCTTTAGTTTGCTTTCAATTTATTTCATTTTATTTTATTATTTTTTTAATTTTATTTTATTATTTCTTTTTGTCCTTTTATTTATCTCTTATTTGTCTCTCACTGTCTTTTTTTTATCTTTTTTATTCCTTTTTTATTTCTTTTTTTATTTCTTTTTTATTTCTTTTTTGTCCTTTAATTTATCTTTTATTTGTCTTTTTTGTTTTCTCATTTCTCTCTTTTTGTCTTTTCATTCCCCGCAGTTAGTCTCTACTTCCTCAGTACGCACTCCGAGGCCTCACTGCTGCTGCTGCTGCTGCTGCTGCTGCTGCTGCTGCTGCTGTTGCTGCTGCTGCTGCTGCTGCTGCGGTGTGGGGTGTACAGCCACCTGGGAGTTTCGGGCACCTGCCGCGCGGTGTCTCTTTGCTGCTTTTCTGTTGTCGTTTTGCTGCTGTCTTTAAGAGGCTCTCGGGCTTACCAGCTCTTCAAGCCTTAGTTGCTGCAGCAGCAGCAGCAGCAGCTGCAGCAGCAGCAGCAGCAGCAGCAGCAGCAGCTGCAGCAGCAGCAACAGATGTACACAGGAAGGAGTTTGTCATGTACTTAAGAGGCTCTTGCGGCCTCGCGCGATGTCAGCTCTATACAGAAAAAACAGCAGAAGCAAGAGCAGCAGCAGCAGCAGCAGCAGCAGCAGCTCTGCTGCTGCTGCTGCTGCTGCTGCTGCTGCTGCTGTTGCTCAAATGCGCAGGCGAGTGCTGCCTGCTCAGGTGTACAGACACCTCGTGTGGGGGGGCCCACACCCAAAACTCAGTTTTAAATATATGCGCAGCTTCGAGAGCAGCAGCAGCAGCAGCAGCAGCTGCTGCTGCTGCTACGGCCGCTGTTGCTGCTGCTGCTGCTGCTGCTGTTGCTGCTGCGTCTCTGAAGCAAGGCGCTTGCTGTCAGGCTGCTGCTGCATGCAGTTCGCAGCAGCAACTTCAGCAAGAGAAGTTGCACATGATAGGTCTCGCAGTGCTGTCAGCAAGGCCTGCCGCTGCTGCTGCTGCTGCTCTTGCTGCTGCTGCTGCTGCTGCTGCTGCTGCTGCTGCTGCTGCTGCAAATTGTCAAAAGCAATAAAGGCTCCCCCCACCGCCTGCAGCCCTGAGGGGCAGCACAGCAGCATCCGTAAAGCGCGAGCTTCTTTGTGGGATAGACGCTGGCTGCTGCTGCTGCTGCTGCTGCTGCTGCTGCCGATGTTGCTGCTGCTGCTGCTGCTGGGTTTGGCTGCTGCTGCT